GAAAGAAAAAAGAAAAAAAGGAGGGAAAAGGGGGGGGAAAAGAAAAAAAAAAAAAAAAAAAAAAAACGGCAAGGTGAAACGAGAGCCTCCCTCCTCCTCGCCCACCTCCCCGCCGCCGGCGCCCGGGCAGGGACCCTCCGCCCCCGCCCGCGTCGCCGCCTCAGAGGGGGACGCCGGAGCCGGGACCGCCTCGCCCTCCTGCCCGACCCCCATCCCGCTGCCCCCTCCCACCCCCGGGGGGGTATTGCCGAGCTCCCTCACCGCTCTCCCTTCAGGGCTGTTTCTCCGCGTCGCTGCTTCTGATAACGAGCCGAAGACGGGAGCGAGCCGCGGTTCGGAGCTCCGCTTAGCTGCTCTTTTCCTTCAGTCGAGCGGGCGCGGGGGCTGCGCGGCTCCGTCCGGCCCGGCCTCAGGCCCTGCTCCCGCCGGAGCCCCTCCGCTGCGGCGCCGGGAGCGCCGGGCCCGCCTGTCCCCTCCGCCCAGGCTCTGCTGCACCTGCTCGCGGGGCTGGGCTGCCCCCTGCGGCGCGGGCCGAGGAGAGGAGAGGGCACCCTCGCTCCGTCCTCCCTCAACTTCTCATCACTTTCCTCTGCCCTCGCTCCGCTCGGCCGCGCTGCCGCCCCGGCAACCCACCGCCCGCCGGACGCATACACCGGGCGCTGCCGTCGACCCCCGCGGAGATGCTGGCACCGGCTCCCCTCACCCCTTCCCCCTCGCCGGCGCGGAAAGCTGCCGTCCTGATCCCCGCCCCATGCAACTGCCCCGGCTCCCAGGACAGCGGGGAAGCTCCCGGCGGGGCAGGTCCCCTGTGCCCGCCTCTGGCGGGTGGGACCGGGGCCGCCCATCCGCCAATCAGTCCGGGCGCGGCGGCGGCGAGACCGCGGGAGGCACTGCCGGGCCCGCCCGCGGCGGCGGCAGGAAGGCCCTGCCTCCGCCGGGGTGGCCGAGGTGGGCCCCACTGCTGTCCTGTTTCCTCGGAGCTTCGCGGGCTCCTCTTATGCTCGCCGACAGCCGAGCACGCTGCCGTTCACACGTTGAAGGGCGCGCTGCGAAGCGCGGGGGATTTACGAGGCCCAAGCCGGCACCCCTGTGGGAATCTTAATCTCTACCTGTCATAACCCTGAGGGGTATTTCGACAGACCCGTGCTCTAACGTTGCTCCTTTTTCGTTGCTAGCTGGCTTTGGTTAAAAACAACACACATAAGCGCTCAAAAACTCCTGAGCTTTTTCTTCCCTCACCCCATACCCCCTTCATTAGAGCTAAGGGCAGCTGCCTAACTGATCCTGGCTCCTGAAGTGATACAGGGTCCTTTATTTCCTCTTTCTGCAGGAAAGGGTGTTCAACTCCCTGCTCTTGTGGTCTCTGCTTGGGGAAGGCTGACTAAAGGGGATGATGAAGCTCCTGTTACCTCCTGCCCTCCATCATCCTGGCAAAGACCTGCCAGTAGCCTTCCAAGCCCTCAACTGACAAAGTTTAAGTACTAATGGTAATTCTCCAATTAGGGGTTTTTGTTTGGTTTGGGGTTTTTGGGGGGGTTTGGGGGGGTGCAGGGTGTGTTGGGTTTGTTTTTATGTTATTCACTTATTATATAATAAAGGTGTAATTTCACGGCTGCCAGACAACAAAGTTCTTTCAAAGAGCAAGATTTGTTCCCCTTCTGGCACACACTTTTCAAAATCCATACTTTTCTCCTGCTTGCTTTAAGTTGTAAGTTCAAAAGTGTTTTATGGACCCACCAAGGTAAATGCTTCTTTCATTGAAATGTTTGCAATGAACTTTAAAGGAAAAAAAGTTTCAGACAGTCTTTCTGATTTGACAAATCAAGTTACTCCTTTAGTAAAAGTGAAGGTTTAAGTTTCGTCAGACAAAGCAAGAAAGTTAACGAAATTTGAATGGTAAGTAATGAAATGCCTGATAAGAAAACCGAACATAAACTTTAAATTTACCTCCACTCTAGTAAAGATGCCTTGCAAAAGAAAATGAAACTTTACTTTCATTCAAATTAAGCCAGTTTGTTTGCGGCATAGAACTTCTCATGATAATAATTATAGAGCCTGTTAAAAGCTCTTCTGTTTCTCACCTATAAAACAAATTATTACAGTTTCTCAAATCTTGTGCTCCATTTGACATCTAGTTAACATTAAATCAGCTGTTAGGCCTTAGCAGGTGATGCTCAAATCCTGCAAGCTAATAGTGGCCTTTGGCTTTGAGGTAAGTTCTGAGCTTCTAAAAATGAGGTTCTGAAGTTAAATGTCCGAGAATCAAGCATACGGAACCACTATCATGTTGAAAGTTTTAGTTACTTCCAGGTAAAATAAATTTCAAACTGTAATGCCCATTGAAGACAATAGGTAATAGTTGAATAAATTCAGCTCCTCTGCATATCTAAACTACCTTCTTATTCCAGTGGTAACTGATTTGGTAAAATCCAAGTAACACAGAACGATTCTTAGGTTAACAGTGGTCATAAGTCTAGACTTGAACCAAGTGTGAATTTTGTTCCGTTTTCCCTGAGATATGTTAGTATCTCCTGCATGTTTATGAGTATTCTTTTTGTTTCTTGAGTAGCAGCTTTAATAAAGCTGTTCTTGCCATGGAAGTAGCAATGCTGAAAAGTAGCAGGTGGTGCAATTACCTGTGGAATTTTATTAAAATTACTTACCAGACCTTGTAAAAATATTAAGGGTTTTTTCATGGAATGTTGTACTGAAAATGTATCACAGTGATGGCAGTATCTTGAATTTAATTACTGCATACTATTGAATACTAACTGAGGAGAGAATGTTATCTCTAGGAGCTTTTTTATTCATCCGCGCACCTTCTACCTTTCCTGTCAGCAAGTCAGAGTTGCTTGATTGTATCAATGTTCTGCCTTCCCAGTTTCCTATCTTCAGCAGACTGGCATAGGTCAGATAAAACATTTTATCAAAAATTAACGTGTTCAGCGTTAATGATTTCCTCTTAGTATTGTACGTTTATTGTAACATGACGTAGTGATCTTTATTTGGTGCAAGTATTTCAACTCCGAGTACATGGGCTTGTCCTGTCTTTGCCTGTTATGGTTACATGCTATTGCAAAGGAAAATTGTTTTTATTTCAAACTCCAGATATGCATATAGTTTTGTATTGCTTTCAAAGATGATCTTTTTTTCATTTGAGGGAAGCACTGGAATATATGGTACCTTGTGTTGCAATAGCACCTCTTCTCAGAGAGACTGACTTTTGGATTGGAAGTGTATCTTCAAACCTGAACACTCAGTATAATCTCAGTTTACTGTTTTTTAGGCAGTTAACCCTGGAATGATATTTTTTTTTCTTTGACTAGTCCAGGAAAAGCAGCTTCAAACAGTGACTGTAGTTGGATCTCTTTTCAATGCTTTCCTGGTATAGAAGACTCCCAGATGTACTAAATGTTGATTCTCTTGCCTTCAATGTATGTTTTAAGTACGGAGATACAGTGCACTTTGGGGTGAAACCTTCTAAAGTTCCATATGACAATAATTTTTCAAAGTCATTGAAACCAGAATTAGTAACTTGTGTGATACAATTATTAATATGTAATACCAAGTTTCATCTTGTCACAGTTTAGTATCTCTTGGAAATACCAGGCACTCCCGGAGACTCAAATTATGGGGTCTTGGCAGATAAAGTAGTATTTTACTCTGGAATATTGATGTCTTGTACATGATAGCCCCAATCTTTTATTGCCTGACTTGTTATTTTGATAAACAATATAGTGATGTTCATATACTTCTTTTATGATTAGAGATGCAAGTCAACAGTAGATTGTTTTCAGAATAAAAAGTGTGCATAATGCAAAGTATTTGGGGGTTTCTGTGCATGACTGTTGTATTTGTTACTTGCTGCATACTTCTAGCAACCCAGCTGCAGAGGCAGTAAATATAAGGTATTAATTAAGCTATTATTATAAATGTGAGGTATATAAGGTGTACAGCCCAATACTGCAACATGAAATTTTTGTTCTCCAGTAAATTCCAGAACGTAACATGGAAATTCTGTGTTCAGAATCTTGGAACTCCAAATTGTGATAAGGAAATCAGAGTCAAATAAAACAATGAAAAGTCACAAAGTGCTATAAATATGAAGCATTTTTAACTTTCATTAAAGTTTTACAGGGCTAATAAACACTTCAGAAGTGTTTTTGAATAACGTTCTATTGTTGTCCAAAGGAACACCTTCATACTATTTTTCAAGAGAGGAATTTATTTCATTTGCTTTTAAGTCGGACACCAATGTCATCACAGTTATTTTTACTAAGTGAGGAACAAGAAATACATCTTGACATGAAATGTTTCTTTGAGAGATTTAGAATTTGATTCTGTTGGGTTAAGGCAAGAGTGCAGCAGCTGCAGAGCAGTTTCCTGTTGCATTTTCTTCCCACTAGAGTTTCTATCATACTCATAAAGAAATATTAGAGTGTTAATTCCAGATTTCTGTTTCTTCAAATCTGGTTAATTGGACTGCACAATGTACATCAGTTAAATTGAAGATTATGTCTTTTGTGCTTTTCTCCTGATTTGCACTGGTCTGGTGGCAAAAGAGAGAGTAATTTCTTCAGTAGATTTCTGGATCATGATGATTCACATACAGGTTTTTAAGTGTGGGGGGGGGTCCTAGTGCTGTGATTGTTTTGACTATACATGCACATACTTCAAGAGTTTCAACAGAGCAAAGTAGAAGTATAGCCTTCCTTGTAACTCGTCTAAGATAGCGTTATCTAATTTTGCTTGTTAATTGGTATGAGATCACAAGCAGCCAAACTAATTTATTTAAATAAGGTTTTTAGTTCTATTGCCTTACCAATTTGCCAGATGGAAATAGTAATCTGAAATGTGTATTACCTAATCTAACTGCAGTGTTACTAGACAACCATTTCTTCTGGATCTGCTTGCTACGTCTTGTGACCTTGTTCACAGATCCCCATAAACACAGTAAAGGTGTACAAAACTCTGCCTTTGCTGTAGGCAACTCTTGGCCTTATCATCTCACATAATTGACACTAACACAAAAGTGACATTTATGCTACCTATATAGGTGACTCTCATAAGTGTATATTACAGTTATGAATGGTGGTTCCCAACAGAAGATTACTGTGTGATCGCAGTATGTTTTGTCCATCTTGTAGGTGTGAAATGGTAATTTCTACTTAACTGATGTATGTTTGGGTAGCAGCAGAACTTGAGGCATCTCAATCAGTTTTTCTCTTACAGGAGAAACCTGTGATTCACCTGCAGTTGTTGGCTCAGTGCAGCCTGCATGTTTACAAAACATAATGTTCTACAGCCTTGAGCAGAAATTTTAACAAAGGAAGAAGGAATCATT